ACCGCTGTCCGTGCTCTGTTTCTGCTGTACAGCTGCTGGCGCGACTGATGGGCCGGGCGTCGTCCCCTCCCATGTTCCTGTGTGCGTGTGACTTGTAACCTTTCTTGCTGCCGTCCCCGTCTTTGTTTGTGGATCATCCACCCTTGAACCTTGGAACGCCTCCTCCTCGTCGTCTTTATTTGCTTGTCACTTCGTCTTTCTTGGGAAATGCACGCTGTTTTTAGTTCTTTTGAGGGGTTGTCTGCGTTTGTTTGACGATTCACCCCATAGTGCCTTGGAGTACTTGCTGTTTTTTTTTTTTTTTGTCATCTTTGTTGCTTGTCGATCGAACGAACCTTGGAGTGCTTGCTGTTTGTTTTGTCATCTTCGTCGTGCGTCGGTTCATCTCTTGTGGTGTTGGAATTCATGGGATGCCCAATTCCCGCGGGCAGGCGGAGGAAGTCACTTTCAAGTGTGTCTAAAAAAGTAGAATAGTGTTGAACTTGTTCGTGGTGGCAAGTTTTCTTTTTAGGTGAAAGTTTCTGCAGGTGTGTGTGCGTGTGTTTGTCTTATTACTGTGTGCGTGTGCCAAGAGAGAAAAGTCGGGGTGCATGAGGCTGATGTCACGAGGAGTGAAGCGCGTTGGAGGTGGCGTCAGCCGTCAACGAAACAGGCACCGCTGCGCGTGGTGCTCTTTTTGGAAGATAGGTGCCTTCTGGCGAAGCAGCATCTCGTTCCTCGTAGCGAGAAATAATTCATGCTCGTGCCCGTAGCCCACCGTTCACTACTCATGCGGATAAGAGTTGTTGTTGTTGTTGTTGTTGTTGTTGTTGTTGTCTTCACATTAAAAATCGTTGCGATCTCTCTCTACCCAGTACCTTCATATGTCCGTACTGATCCAACACTTGACGCGGTCGATTCCCGTGGTCACATGCTAAGTTACCCTAAAAAGGTACGCTGAAACAAAATGGCCCCGAGGGTTAGGTACATTGTATACAACAGGCCCCGTGGTCTAGTCAGGTTCAGAGTTGCAAGTCGAAGGCGCGAGAGGAGGAGGAGAGACTCGCTCGCTCGAACGATCGGATCGGTGGGGGGGAGTGTGTAGACGTTTCCATAGAGGAGCAGTGAAAAAAGCCCCCTGCATGTTGTCCATAGTCGAGTGTCGCGAGTGGATTAAGTTTATGGAGGGGTCAAAAGGAGTCTTGGGAGTACTGTTGTATCAACGCTGAATCATTTGAGGAGGCAGGACTGCCCCAGAACTGCCCCCATTTTTATGAACAATAAAGAAAAATTTGTTTGCCGTTTCGAAAGTAACAACAACGCACGCCGCAACCGGCCACGACGGAGGCTGGAGTGTTTTTTTTTTTAACGAAACAGACGTCGGTCCGACAAAAACCGACCGGCCAAGGGTTGTCGTCGGCCAATCGGAATTCGGCGGCACCGATGTCGACCAACGGGACACCGCCCCGTCTACCTCCACGGCACCCCAGCTCGAACGGAGTTCGCTGGGTCCCTCTTTGCATTCCTCGCGACATCACACCAGCAAAGGAACCAGCCAACACCTCAGGTGGCAAGGTTATCGCCATCGCCACACAGTCAACAAGCTCTCCAATGTTGAGGGATGTCTTTTTTTGTTGCACCCGCACCCCCGACGGGTACCTCCCGCACGCAAGATGCCATGTCTCCTCTCACGCGCTACGTAAAAACCCCGCGGGAAACAATACAGAGCAATTGCAACTTCAAGCCACTTTGTCTGCAGATGGGGACGAGCCGTCAAAAGCATCCCGTCGTCACCTAAACAAAGCGTGTCACGACGTTGTGGGCTGGGTATGCTCTCCCTGACGTACTTGTTATCGGAACCCCGTACGCGCATCTCTGTTGGATGCACAACATTTGCGGCATCCACTCCTTCAATGGTTCATCCGCACACGACACGCCGCTCCAAGAAACCAGGCATTATGCACTTCAACTACAGCGAAGCCTTAAGCCTTTCTCTGAGGAGCGAGCGCTGAGCAACGAAGCCCTCTCCTTCATTCTAATCATTAAACTATTTTTGCTGCTGCTGTGATGATAAAACTGTTTTTGCGCCAACTGCGGCTTGTTGCGATTCGGATAAAACGAAACCCTTCTCAAGCCTCTTACGAGACCGATTTTTTTTTTTTATGTTTCGACTCAAACGCAACCCAAAGCGCCATTTTTCACCGGAAGAACAAAGGAAAAAAACACACCTCGTGCATTATCGAGCAACCAAGCCCTGCAGGTACACGAAGAGATACATCCGTGTTTTCCGTTAAGACTACCGTACCGTACCGTACCGTACCGTACCGTACCGAATATGTACAACACGGGACCAGCGTCAGAGAAACCCACACATACAAAAGACATGGTGGGTAGTGTGATATGGGTCATTTGCAATACCACATGCAAAGAAAGCTTTCAAACGCTAAATCATCCCTTCCCTCCCCCGCCCTGAAAAAACTGCAACACTACAGAACATGTCCGGCTGGCAATTGTTTGGCACCGCTTGTTGGCGCAAAAAAAAAAAAAAAATCGCCACCTCCACGCAACCAGTACCACACAGCACTACACAAAACGGCATGGCGCAAAAACAGCCTGGCGCTATGGACAAAAAAACGCTCACTTTCTTCAAGAAAAACGATGAAGCAAGGAACGACAAAAAAAAAGGGAGGTGCGTGGTTCATCCAGAAAGTCGAGAGAATAATAAAAAGAGCCAACTACTGTACATGACACACGAAATGGCTGAGAAAAATACAAGAACACCACGAAAACACTACAACCAATCCCCATTCTAGCCCCGGCATCCACCGAAAAACTCGCCATAAGCTTTGTACCTCTCAGTATAAAAACTAGTTTGATTATATTTGTTAATCACGCACACCGTCTACTGCTGCTTCCACCCCGGCTACCCCCCCCCCCCCCCGGAAAGTCAAACAAATCAAGCCTTGAAGCAGGGAAATCCCACTTGGGCCCCCTTTAAAAAACATGGGGGCAGCGAAAAGAAACCATGGTGTGAAAATGAACAATTTCCGACCCATATGCACAGGCCGGTCGGTCTACAATAATAATAATAAAAAAAACAGGAACACCAAACAAAGAAAAAGAAAAAAGACAAGGGCGTCGAAAAAAAGAAAAAAAAATCGATGTCATCAATCAGGCACAGAAGCGCGAGCTGCTTACACAACACACACCGGCAAGATGCTGCACTCCAGCGAACCAAGTCCAGACACAAAACGTGCACCACCCCTAAGGGCCTTTCGGGGTGCGTGGTTTCCGGACTAAACTGACCGCCATGTCACGGGAATCACCCAGAGCCCTCCCACAACGCCGCGAATACTTCGGGCAAAATACGCCTTTCGAGGCATAAAAAATGCCTTTAGATCCCGTTCGGCTCCGCGCGGCAAAGAGTTCTGAAACTTCCCGACTCCTCGAGGTGGGCGTAGACACGCAAAACGCCTTCGTCCCTCTACACACACCACACAAAAAAGAGATTGCCTTATAGCCTGTCGTTCTTGCGCCGCAACTGGCAAATCAACCATGGTAAAAAATAGAAAAACACGAATGGCACACGAAGGCACCTTGTTGTCACCTTCAACCAACGACCCCTATCCATCCCGGACCCGAGCAGCTATGCCATGAACCACGGCTTTCTTCCCCTTCCACCTGAGTCGACACACACAGCTGTGTCCTTGGAGGGGGGCAGTGGACACAGGGGCGTAAAACACAGGCCGTTGCTCAGTCGGGGGCACAAAGGAATCGACCCATCTGTTTCGAATATGACATCCCATGGATACTCTTGACATCGGCCTTTTTTTCACCTTTCGAAACACTTTTCTGGACGCACCAGGCGGGGTAACACAGGAGGAAAAGGCCACACATGGAGTATGCAAAACTCAAAGTGATTCTTGCTCGAAATTATATGTAGCCTTTTCCAGGGAAAATAACGAAGGAGATCGATCAGATCAAGCCACATTACGCAAAGAACAACAAACGTCTAGACGTAGGATCAAGCCGGTAAGTAAATCCAACCTTCTCGCGATAAAATTCGAAGGCAAGTATCGCAGGAGGAGGGGGTGGAGAGAAAGGCACCCTTCTGTGTGACCACGGATTGGAGCTTCTGTGTGACCACGGATTGGAGCTTCCAAGCTGACCACGGACTGGAGCTTCTAAGCTGCTGTTAGCTGTGGGCGCTGATTGAAGCAATCCAATTAAAAAAAAAACGAACGAAAAAAAACGACCAGGGTAGCCGCCTGCATACCTACAGAAGACTCCGTTCAGCCGCCGTAGCGCTTGCCGTCAGGGGGTGACGGTGGATCGAAGCTATCCCGGGGGTCCTCCGGCTCGGGCACGGAGTGGTACAGCCGGAGGCCGATCATGATCACAATGAGGCCCGACACGGTGAACACGTTGAAGCTATCGTGCAGCCACTCCTGCGGGGCGAGAAGACAGGCGGAAAAGCAGAGCGCACGTGGAGAAGCATGGTCAAGTGAGGGAAGCAGACAGGGGGTGCTTGAGCAACAGGAAGCGAAAGTCTTGGGTAGAGACCGATTGAAACAAAACGGAGGAGATAGAAGGAGGAGGAGGTGGAAGCAAAGAGGCTAGCATCCACCATCCAAGCACGAGAAACATTTCATTTCGACATCAACGCAAAAAAAAGGGAACAGAATGCAACAACACCCCACTATCAAAACAACAACGACTTCCAACTATTGAAATATCGTTTCGATTTTAACAAGATATCTTCGGTGTTTTCGGAAGGACTGCAAGGAGGTAAAACGACCAAACGACACAGGCATCCAACCATCAGCACGAAGATGCCACGTCATGAATCAACACAACCATCGAACACAATACGGCCGTTACAACAACAACAACAATGGCAGAGCGACGGACGGACACACCAACCCATCAGCCACACACACAGCGCTACACCACAACGTCGACTGCTCCTTGCTTCCGCAAAATCACTTCCGACAAGCGCAAAAACAACTACTAGTAGAAAACTCACGGCTTCGTTGTAGAAGCACAGGGCTACGAAGGCCGTTGGCACAGAAAACGCCATGGCACGGTGGTACACCGACGCCGACCTGCGCGGCAGAAAGAGAGGTCGAGGCGGCAGCAGCAGATGGTCGGCCGAGGAGAAGCGGACTGCAAACGTGACTCAACTAGATGCACCACGAGCGGGAGACAATCAACCCCTGCACAAACCCCAGCAACGACAATAGCAACAGCAACATCATCAACGGTGGCAAGCAATAGCCACAGCAGCAACAGCAACAGCAACAGCAGCAGCAGCAGCAAGAGCAGCAGCAGCAAAAGCAGCAGCAGCAATAGGGCATGGCTTCACCCGGGAGAGACATGCGAAAAACGACGCGCATCGCACAAGAAATACGCACGAAAAAATACAACAAAGTACACAAGATTATCACACCCGAACGGCAACATAGAAGCGGTGCTGTCATCGACGGCGGAAGCAGCGCTAAAAGCCGCGCAGCAGTGTTCCGCCGAGGTTAAAACTCCGGGAACTGGGCCCCACCCTCAAGAGGGCAACAGTCGAGGTAGAAGGATACTCGTTTCGACCCGTCGATAACTTGAAATGTACAGCAGTAGCGCTGACAATCTCAGCAAGGAACACGGCACACACTCCTCCACGCGAGGTTATTAAGTATTGTAGGCTAATTCCTACGAGACTGGCATACATTTTTTATTGCTCCGCCGGGCTAGCGCGCGGTCGATTCCGCTTCAAGAAACACACACACAATCTCTCTCTCTCTCCCTCCCTCCCTCTCTCTCTCTCTCTCTCTCTCTCTCTCTCTCTCTCTCTCTCTCTCTCTCTCTCTCTCTCTCTCTCTCTTTCTCTCTCTTCCCTCTGGGTCAGAAATGGGCGGCCTATGGGTGCGTTCGAATTCCAACAGGAACCACCACCCAGTCGCGTTAATAGGAAAAAAAAAAAAAACTCACTCGGCCTGGTCGACGACCTTCTGGACCAGAGTGTTGACCAGAAGAGTAGCCACGACGTAGGAAAACACCAGCGGCAGCCCTGCCCAGCACTCCGCGTCGACGGGATAGCTGCAAGCATTGCCAAATACATCCGACGAACAAAGAAAAGACAAGACACAAAACAAGATAAAAAAAAAAAAAAACGGGCACTGACAAGGTCAGCGGCACACGAGGGTAAAAGCTGGCGCAACAGAACACACCGCAAGAACGATCGGCCGAGTTTCGCAAGAGACTTCGGGGGAAAGGTGCCGGGTTCGGGGCGCGAAACGCCTAGAAAAGCGGGGACGGTGACCAAGACTGCTCGGGAATAGCGTGGACAGAACACATACAAGCCGGGGCCCCCTGCACAACAGCACCGAGCGTGTCGAGGACGCGCACGCCACGTTCCCACCGGTGCACACGGGGAGGCAGCCGTGCTTCTAACGCGCTAAACAGGACGTACGGTGTGTTGGTTGCTGAAGCGCAACGTCGCGCAGACCCTTCGCATTCCCGCCCACGCCGCTTTGTCTTTGTGACGACCGGAGGGTGGCATAGACATGGGTACTAGGCGGAGGAGCACAAAAGGTTGTCAGAAGAAGCAAACGCTTAACTGACAAGGCCGACAGAACACGAACCTTACCCGTCGATGTCGACGACATCCCTCATGAGCACGAGACAACGCCAGCCGTCTCTCAACGCCTGTCCAACGTGCGTGTTCCCGTCTCCGTGTCTACCCAAGAACTGGAAAAAAACAAACGCGGTTGTCGTCAGAGTGGACAGCAGTGTGGCGGGGCGGGTGGGTGGGCGGGTGGGGGCGGCGGTGGAAGGATAACGTACGGCAAATTCTTGGGTCCGCAAGACGGAGCCGTACCGAAGAAAAGGCAGTTTGACGTCGACCAGTCTGCCAACAGCATGACCAAACAACCTTAAAAGTGGACGCAACCAAAAACGACCCTGAGGTGTGGGCGCGGCGTCCAACCCGAACAAACAAACAGTCGCACGCATGTACCTCATACGGGGGCTCCGCAATTTACATACCTGGAGCTGGTACGCCGCCGGCGCCGCTAGCGCGATGAACACCACCTCGAACGCGGTCACACCGAGGCTCAGCTGGTGCGCGTCCACCGGCCGTCCGTGCTGCTCCAGGGCGTACTGCTTGTACACCGTGGAGACGGCCGCCGGCAGGCACGCCAGCACGTACAGGATGGTGTTGTACCCTGCTTGCAAAATAAGAAACAAGACAAAGACAGAGCGCGGATTAGCCTATTTAGTTTGTCCTCCGTGTCGTTGACCCGTGCAACTTTGTCTCAGAGCGGGCCGAACAAAGTCCAGGCACCATGGCGGCGGTGGTCAGGACGGAGTGCGCGCTTCGATCCGGTCTCCGCTAAAAGACCATCGACGAAAGCCTTCATGTCCACGTACTCGCCCGGGCTTTCTAGAAAACCATGTTCTCAATCCCCCCTCTTCCCTAGTACCGTATCAAACCAAATTCCCCTCGTCGCCCCGAGACCTAGTCAGACCTCTGCCTTCGCGTGGACATCGAAGGCAAGGACTGCGACGCTAAACACGCAACAGAACAACCGAACTCGCTGTTCCCGCAGTCTCCGGTCCATCTCCAATCCCTCCCGCCATCCACCAAACGATGGTTCACTTCTTGCCACCGCCACCGCCGCCCACTCAGGCACCCAAGCATTGGCGGCACTAGCCCGCACGTGTGCACCGAGAAAGGATGCGGTCAGACTGCTCCGAGAAGGGCGCGAAAACCGCTGTAGAGCACACACACAACGCCAAGACTCAACGGGAAAACCGCGCAGCCAAAAAAAAAAAAAAAACATCCCTCCGTGAAGCAAGGAATTGGCAAGCGATGAGACAACCCGACGTACGCTCGCATCGTATCCAGGGCACGGGAAGGAGGAGTCCCGTAGCCGGAACACAAACCCACGATCAAGAAGGCTGCCCCCCCCCCTACCCCCCCCCCTACCTTCTACGATGGCGTAGTCGCCGCTATCCCCCCGCAGGTGCACCGGGTCGTACTCGTGGCTCCTGGCATCGTCGTGCAACGTGGCCCTCGCGTTGATCAGCCGAGAGATCGGTAGATATATCGCCACGCACGCGCCCAAGAATATTACCGCCGCCCCCAGCACCGACTTTCGGGGGTATCGCCTTCTCAGCGAGCAGTGACGGGAGGGACAAAGAGAAAGAGAAACGAGGGAAGAGGGGGAGTAACAAGAGAAGGGGGACGGGAAAACAGCGTCAGTTCATACCGCAACCATCAACCATCGGATGTGCAGACCTCATTTACTATTAGGTTGGTCGATCGGAGGCGGCCAAGCGGTGGCCTGCACTACCAAAGTAGCATCCCTGCAGAGAAATGGGAAAGGGCTTGGAAAGGGGCAAAGCCGGCGATACATGCACCGAAGCTGACAATTCCATCACAAGAGACCAATTGCCTGCACCAATTCCCTCAGCAACCAGGGGGAGGAACTGGCGGTGACAAGACAAATATTGTCAACATTCGGGACACTGAAAGGCAAAAACATGTTCGGGTACCGCAAATGCTGGATACCAAATGTCTTCAGGGTTTCACAGTTCACCAGCGTCGACTTCGACAACGTTGCTTCGTATCCCCAAGCTCCAACCATTGTCAAGAGCCACAAAACACGACGAGAAGCGAACAAAGTGACTTGAGTGCATCCAAAGAAAGCACGTGCGGTGTCGTGCTCGGCTGCGCAGGCCGCCGGAGGCGCAAGTCTACGCATCTGGTTATGTCTTACCTTCCTGCCAGCAAAGACGGGGAACACAGCAGAGAATCCCCAAGTTCAAGCAACATGTCAAGACGTTCTCAGCGCGCTACGACAACCTGCCCCCGACCAATCATGAAGCAACAAAAAACGAACAAACGGTTGTACCTATACACATGCTCTTGCCCTTTAGCAATAGCTCGCATCACCGTTACAAATTCAGTGTTTGGCTTGCTAAGTGCTTAATAGACTTATATACGCCCAGTGTCCAGCTGGTTTCCTGCCGTTCACTGCAAAGACTTCAACACATGGCCGTTCGACTACTGCTGTGGTGTTATCTCGAACGGTGGTGGTATGGATATTTCTGTGATTATACACAGGTATATTCTCTAAAAAGACTCAAAACCTTGCGCATGCGTGTGTGTGTTCGTCCCATCTATTCTGGCGCCGGTTTACACAGTACAGGCCTTTCGGCGTATTGTATATACCTGATGTATCAACCGGGGTGACACAAGAGGACGGGCACACGGGAGGGTTTCTTCATTTTTTCTTTTTATTATTATTTCCCCACCTTTCCCCTTGCGTTGCTTGCCTTAGTTTTTATATACTCCGATCAAAAACAACCACCAATCTACACGGGATACACGCCGTGGTAGTGGTCCCGATATATCGCGGTCGCGAACAGCGCGGTTCCCGATACATCCGAACAAAAAATCCTTCGCACAACAGCCTACTACTCTAGCCTGCTACTTTTCAGGAGCCCTCCTCCTCCAATAGCGCCGGTCGCAATACAACGCAGCTATTCTTGTCTTTGTCACACTGCACCGCGATACCTGGGACATCGGGACACCACAGCACTGCCGTACAACAGCTAGCATATGTACCTCGAGCAAAATCCACCCGAGACAGCGAGGCAGAAGGGCGCCGAGCACTGCAGCAATAGCACCGTCAGCGTCGGGGCCACGTCCGCGGCCGCGACGATCATCGGCACCAGGTGCAGCATGTCCAGCACGGCCATCATCGCGAGCCTCCAGACCGGGAATCCCTGCATGCTGCCCCTCTCCCCGGATAAGTTGACGCGTCTGAGGACGACGACCCCGACGGCGACGGCGTAGCACGCGGCCACCGCTTGCGCCAGGACAAACCTGGAGGAGGCGTTTTTTTTACAATTTTTGTTGTTGTTTTTTAGGGGTGGGTCAGGATTTTGCCTTCGCCTTTTGGTTGCATGTGTGTCGTGTGGGGCTGACGAGTAGCATTTTCAACTAGACTAATGGTTTTGGGTGTGGTTGCCTTGTGTTTGCATTGGTTAGGCATATTTTGGTCGGGATGAGGGGTGGTCGGGGCGGAGCTTGGACTTGGACATCGACTCTATCTCGCTGCTTGTTTGCCACCGAGTGCAGAGTGCTGAGAAAACAGGCTACGGGGGTGGTGGTGGTGGTGGTGGTGGTGTGATTATTGCCGTGCAGCCGCAGCAGGTTGACCATTGACCTCGCACGCCGGGGGGGAGGGGGGAGGGGGCACTCGAGACGGAGCACTCGTGTCTCTACTCCTGACATGGATGGTGCCACCAATCCTCGGGTGCTCTCTTGTTCGTCAACGCCCTTAAAGTCCATCAAGAGGAATTCTTGCTTAGACAGGTTGGTGAATTCCGGAAACCCGAGGGAGAGAGGAAAGGGTATATACGTTTCCGTCCTACAAGTGCTTTATGCCGAGGAGAGAGGAAAGGGTGTATATGTATATGTTTCCATCCTACAAGTGCTTTATGCGTAACTGCCAAACCTTCGCCCGAAGCTAACAATGCCATCAACTCGCTGAAAAGTGTTTGTAGACTTAACGAAGACCCCCCCGAACAAAAAGAAAAGGGTCGTGAAGGACTGACCGAACGCCGTTCTTTCCGCATCACACCACACTGCTCTGTGTGTAGAGTTGTCACCTGCTGCCGCATGGTACAGCAGCATACAACCTCATGCACAGAAACTTCACTGCTGTAGCAGTACTCAGAATCAGGTGCGACATCATTGTCGGCGGCTTGTAATTTGTAGGCAACCATGATCGGGTTTCATGTATCGGGGAACAACATGCGAGACGATGTGCCATGACTACGTATTTGGCTTACCGCCGGTTCATGTTTTAGCTCGCAGATTTGGGGGCAGTTGGCTTGTGACCACGGAAGCGCCCGCGTCAGTTGGACCAGTACGGACATTAGAAGGTACTGAGCGGAGACCGGAACGGTGTTTAATGTGAAGACAACAGCAACAACAGCAACAACAGCAACAACAACAGCAGCAACAACAGCAGCAACAACAACAACAACAACAAACAACAACAACAAACAACAACAACAACAACGGCAGTTTTTGTATCCGTGACGACATGAACCAAAGTGCGACCATGCGGGCCAAGAGGCACACCCGCGCATTTCCGGCAACAACAACACGGAACCTCAAAAGAGAGGAGTCCTTTCTGCTGCCAATATAGCTCCCTCGCGTTGACATCTCTGCTACTGCCTGCCACCCACAGGGCATAAAACACACACACAAACCCCCTCGTGTTGGACGCCGATACGCCGAGCTGGTCTGTCGGCGAGCGCGTCGCTTGACCTTGACACCTTGACCTTACCTGAAGGGGGCCATTCTGTCGACCATGAGCTTGAACGTCAATCTCTCCAGGGCGATCAGGGCCATGAGGCAACTGCTGTAGATGGCCGTCGCATTCTGTGAGCAGAGAGATTGCCAAGTAGCAGTAGCAGTAGAGGCCGTCACAGGGCGGGTGCAGAGCAGAGAGAGGCACGGCGCACACAGCACACGGCAGAGGGGAGAGAAGAGAGAGAGCCCGGTCTCTTCAGCGAGAATTCAAACGAGTCATTTTTAGTCTAATCGGAGCAGAGTTGAAGGAAAAAAGTTCTGAACTGGAAATAAAGTCCGTAAAATGTTCGCCCTGGGTTGGTGAAACCAGTGTTACCTTTGAGAACAAGCGCCGGAATCCTGCTCCTGGGTGGTTGTTCTCTAAGAGAAGCTGACCTTCCTCCATCCTCTGCCAGCTTTACACACAGCAGTCTGTGAGCAAAGTTCTGACTCTTATTGCCTGCTGGTTGGAAGGCTCCCCGCCGAAGCAAGGCAAGAACCTCGGGGCCACACACCCTGTACCTTTGAACCACCCCAATAACTAAATTTTTCCTAACGGGCGGGGCCCCTGGCCAAGATCTTGATCTTTACTACTTTGTTTGATCGTGTCCTGTGATGCCTGTCTGTGCCTCGTCACGTGTCGTGCTTCCCCAGGCCACAGCTCGTAATCTCGCGACTTTCTGGCATCTGGGGATGTGAGTTGGAAGCTCCGTGCGGTCAGACAAGCTGGGAATTCGTCTGACACCGTAGGATACGCAACGAAAAATGATGAAGCGTGCGTGCATGTACGTACGACATTCGTCGGCTTATTATAGTCTAGATATACCTCTCTCGAGATACCCCCGCCGGTGTTAGCCTCCACCGCAACAGCGGCCTCGAGGCTGGCTGAATGAACGGCACGAGGAAATAGTAATTTCTTGGTTCCACGGAGCGTACAGAGCAACGCTCCTTTCGATCGGGACGATTGGCACACCCCAAAATACGACAGAAGCGAGAGCCATTTGAGCCAGGGCAGAAACCGCGTGTTGGTTGATGTTGTTGTTGTTGCTGCTGCTGCATGTTCACCACCTGCTCCCCGGCCACCTGGTCACTGACACTGACTGACTGCCGATATATAAGATAATCGTCTCAAGATCCCAATATCATGTTCAATCAACACAGCGGGGGCAACTGTCAGCCTCGGGTATATAATGGCATAGAGGCAGCCACCTCTCTCTGCCTGTTGTTACCGAGAATATTTTTATATTACTGCAGTATGGCGATGATACAGCAGGTGCGGGGCTCGACGCAGCAGGTATCAAACCGCTTTATGCCATCACACACCGAGCTGCGTCCAGCAGCGCGTGAATGCTAATGTTCTCGCTGCTGCTATCTGGGGAAGAGGGGGCATCAGGTTGTTATTGCACCCAGACCATAATAAGCGCAAACTGGGCCGCTCCCAAAGTGGGAACTCTCTCCGCGTACATAGTAGCTCCACGGACACGAAGTGGATACCGCAGATGATTATCGTGTCTTGCACGAGTCTTTCTGTGTGTGCATGTATTATTCCTTTAAGTCTTGCACGCATGTTTCCTGTGGAACTATGAACCACATCTTGATCGAGAGCTCCCAAATCATCAGTCTCAGAGGCAGAGGCAGAGGCTGGTGACGATACTTTGGGACTTGAAACAGATCCTCCTGCAGCTCACCACCTTTTCCAAAGCTCGCCAACGACGTCGTACGAACACGTTCTGCCCGGCGGTGCCGTACAACCAGCCCTGCCACAGCAGTTGCATGAAACTAGACGTGAGCGGGACTGCCTTCGTATTACATACGACTCTGCGACGGCTTTGCAGCTATATTCGTTGCCCACTGCCCACAGCGAGCAGAGACCAGATAGACGCTTTTGGCGCACGTCTACAACACATGCACGGCCAAATAGGCGCGTCCGTACTAAATTGTGAAAACATCCGTAGGTGAAGACTAATTAACTTATCTCGAGGATAGCCGAGGTACACAACAGAAAACAACCCCACAATCGACACCGGTACACACAAAAAAAAAACAGCTTCTTGAGGGGTAAGACTGCATGAAAGAAAAATAACGACTGGTCTCTGGTGTTAATAAACGACCCCATTCGTCGTTTCCGGGGCATCACGAACAAGCAAGCTACTCTACAAATCGAACACTTTCCCAAGACAAGAATCCATTTACAATTATGCAACACACGCTAACAGACCGTGCACAAGAACGAAAACTACTTTTCACCTTCATGTGCGTAAAACCCAAACGGGAATATTCCATCATCGTGCATGATTGTACAAGAGTAATAAAGAATGAAGTTCACTACCGTCATCCCCACACCTCCCTTGGCTTGCGTTCGGCGGTCTCCCACCCTCCCTGGCTGATATTCGGCGGCAACAACTCCCGGTGCAAACACGAAAAACGCCTCCATTCCGCGACTCACTTGCATCCGCCCGACGATCGATCATTCGCGGTCCGGGCTAACATAGCACAGGGATCTACAATGTTGTTTGTTGCTGTCTTCACATTAAACTCGTGTCAGTTGCTAACCCCAAAATGTAGCAAAGACGCTGTTCGTGGTCACATGGGGACAGCGAAACCGCTGAAAGTTGAAAAAGTGCACTCCCTTGATCGAATATTTTGATTTCTGCCAAGAAACAAAACAAAAAAATCTCTAGCATCACCGTTACACCAACGTTCGGGCCCAGCTTGGGGCCTCTTCGTGTGCGATGGTTTGATTCCGACGCTTCAAGCAACTTCTCGCTGTCCCTCTCGTGCTCTGAACTCACAGAGCACGGAAAAAATCTCAAGGACACACACCAGCGACAAGATGTCATCAGCATCTTCAAAACACAGCAAGAACGAGCGCAACATTTTGCAGTGAACTCGATGCAGGCGGTTATATCCCCCGACAACCACTCCGTCGCCCCCTCCAAACTACCGCACGTAAGCTGCTGCTGCGAGAGAGAGAGTGAACCAAACTGCCTTCTTCCGCTTCACCTACGCTCGGAAAAGGCGAAACACCCTCGTCAAATCGGTACTTGTCTTTTTGGACAACATCAGCTCGTCCGTTTATACCCCAAACGAGAGAGAGCAGCGGCGGCAGCGGCAGCGGCAGTCGCAGCGGCAGCCACAGCGGCAGCAGCCAGCAGCAGCAGCAGCAGCAGCAGCAGCAGCAGCAGCAGCAGCAGCAGCAGCAGCAGGAAGAGAGCGGCGAGTACGAAAAATCACCCTCGACCGGTCGCTTGCTGGTCATCGGTAGTCGACCTTCGCGGCAATGTTGGTGTTGAGCGATCGTAGGGACTCCGCCCACCGTTCCAGCGCTACGGCCGTTCGCGTCTGCGCTCTTGATCCCGATCCCGACCCCACCGCAGCGGCAGCGCCAGCCTCGGAGCTTGCCGGGCCTCCCGCGGCCGGGCACACTTTCCCGCACAGAACTACCTGATTCACCTGGTTCATCAGTAAGGGGGGACGCAGGTATTTTGCGAAAGTACAGTACGGAGGGGAACCGGGACGGTGCCAGCAGTAAACGCTCCTCTTTGCCATTTAAGACTGTATACACGTTTGTCTGATTGGTTCGTTGGGGTTCGCTGGGCTCTTCGAGTCCAAAACGCGTCAGCTGTGTGAGCTGTTCGAGCTTGGGAAACGTCACTGGTGGCAGCTGATTCCCACTGACACAGCAGTACTTTAATTTCATCCTGCATCACGCCTTCATGACACTATTACCACTACCACTACAAGCTCTCACGAGTCCACTCCGGAGGCGCGCCAGGCACATCATCAGCACACACGTTAACAAAGGCATAGGTACACAGGGCGATAAACACAGTTTACCGAGCACGTCGATCGGTACCAGGACTACGCAGCAGCATCACGCCACGCACCTGGTCGATCTTCCCGTCAACCTTCCCGTCAAGGATACACGAAACTAAGAGGTCCTCAACGTCCGTCACGGGGATGTCGTTCAGCTCCCCCGCGAGGTAGGGAAGCTTCACCCGCGTGTAGGGGGCGATTGCCTTGAGCAACACCTGGAAGTGCGTGTTGTTGCTCATGATGCTGACTTTCTTTGGTCCAACAAGTGCATACGACCGTTAATGTGTGACATTGGCATCCAACAGTCTGTGCATTCAACGCCAGCAAGCTTCTATGCTACGCAATGCTACGGGTGCATATTGTGACGGTGGTACCATGACTCAACCAGAAAAAATGGTCGAAACTACTCTACGTAGACAGGAACATTTGCCGAAAGTTAAACTTCTCTGCCTCGCGCCGACAAGGGGCTGTACGATTCAACGGCACCCGCAATAGCGCTGTCTTACACACGTGGGTGCATTTGCACAAGCACACGTGGGTACATTCAGTCACGATCAAACCTTGTCGAGATATCCCTATCTACATATATTTCCTCTAGCCTGCCCGCGAAAAGATTTTCATTTTTCAACTTCCCGAGATTCTCCTCCCCGACCAACCACAAACACCGATGCAGACCCTCAAAGGCTCAACGCCCAATCGCTGGAAAATGTAAATGCACCAACTGCAGGTCTGGTTAAATAGCACGCCCACCCCCCCGACAGAGATGGCGCACACGTGCGGTGCGGTGACGGTACAGTAGCTCAATTCATTTTCGGCAGTGCTCAGGGAAAAACCGATATTGGGGGTTGGTCGGTGTGTGTGCCTCCTCTGCCTCAACGCCAGAGAGAGCGAGATTCGACGACCCACCTGCGTGCGCATCGTCCTCAAGATGTCGTCGATGTAGAGCTTGATGAACGGGTCTCCCATCAGGGAGGCGCGGTGTGTCTTCAGGATGCGTTCGAAGTCCTACGCGTTTTTGGCAGCATCCACAAGAACGAAAAAGCAAAAAAAGCGTCGCAATCGCCGAAATAAGTTCACGGCGTTACCGCAGAGGTAGGTTTCAGTCGTTCGATCAACAACACCAACGCTCTTGGGCATGGATTTGCTATCGCAAGGCCTCCGTCGAACCTACATCCACTCAGGGCAGCGGCAGAGGGCGACTACACGACACGAATCCTGTGATCTACCGACCCCACCCAATTTAATTCCACGTTCAGACGCGCGCGCTCAAGTATTCACGGCGACACCGTTAGCACATCCTCCTTCCCAGATGGCGTGTCAAGTGCGAAAAATCGATACCCAAAACCACATCGTAGCCAGCCTTCAGATCCCAGCGAAGAGAGGTCGTGCCGGCTTGCTGCTGCTGCTGCTGCTGCGGTGTCCCGACCCATTGTTTCGGTCAGCATTCTGACAGTGTGCAATACAATCCCATATCAGATGTACCTCCCCCCCGTGATGCCAGAATCTGCACCAGTCTCTAGCAATTAAGTGCAAGACAGCTCGATCGAGTCGAGTCCCTACATTTTGGAAGCCAACAAGGATAAAAATACGTTCACTTCTACCGCCGCATGGCTGAAGAAGGAACACTTTGATCGCACCTACGGACTATTATGCCGCATGTTAGCACCTTCATCTGGTCGGATCCGGAAACAGGCCACACCCGTCTACTGGCTGTTGCTGTCGTTGTGTTTACGCCGCACACCTCGATCTGTTTATTGCACACCCTTCGCTTGTTCATTTCGAAAAAGGCTTCGACAAGTTTGGTCATAGCAACGATTTCGGGGTCCCGCTTTTACGGCTCGATCTGTTTTCGGCACACCTCAATCTGCTTACTGCACACCTTGGCCTGTTCGTTGGCACACCTTGATCTGTTTATTTCGGAAGGCTTCGACGAGGTTGGTCATCGCAACGATCTCGGGGTCCTGCTTGTACGGCTTGGCCTCCTGGCTGTCGAACGGGTCTATTTCGCTCTTGTGCAGGATCGACGCCATCACCAAGTACTTGAGAACCTTTCAGAGTGCACAGTTATTGAGGGAGGGAGGGATGGGCGTCGTGTAGGCGGAGAAAAGCAGGCAGAGCGCAGCGTTTATCAACGGGTTGACTAAGGTTAAGGATAGTCGCAAAAAAGGGAAGGGGAAGAGCGGCCAGGCGAACAAAGACGTATCAGGCAGCGGCGGCGGTACCAGCGGCACCATCACCAGCAGTTACCAGAGCCGGATGCAACGCATCGCAAAAAAAAATTAGAATCCACAGGCCGTTTCGCGCTGACGGAAGGGCACAAACGCGCGTGCGCTGCACACTTACCTGCAACCGCTCTGGATCGCCCGCCTCGTCGTAGTTCTTGAAGCTCTGGAAAAAAGCCGTGCAGGCTTGGTCCCACTCCCTCTCCTGCCCTCTCCGATGTTTATTTTGTTGGTTTTGGCACGACGGGAACGTTGCCAAGACGATAGAAAGGGGCCAACGAGATCAGCCCGCAGGTGGCATCGTTTGTAGTTTTTTTTTTCCATAGCTTTAAACCAGCGCTCACACACATCGGTTACGCGAGACAACCCAAGCAAATATTGGAGCAATAACGATAAGAAGTAGCCATCCATGTTATTAAGATCACGTCAAGCTATCCATGCTTTAAGTTGCAGGCCGTGCGATCAGCGAACGTCCAGGCTGTGGCCTTGGGTCCATCACGCCACCAACTACGGCGGAGGTTTTGAGGAAGGTGCAGGGGTTGCACGACGGGGGACGCGCGGATGGCAAACAAGGGGACGAGGGGTGTGTGCCAACTGCTACTGTGCGTTCTGCTACCGAAATGGACGCAACCCATGCAGCCAATTTCCTGTCGTAGGTGTATTTTTCTTAGTTTTGATGTTGGGGAAATATCGGCGTAAAATGGACCGCAGCCCCGACATGTCACACAAGAGCTGTGAATACGTCACAATGTGACGCCGGTCCGCGTCGTGACGAGGAGGTGTGGTACTCAATTTCGCGCGCTCATTGTGAGAAAAGCAACTTGCTGCAAGCTTCTCGCTCCTTGAAACCCCTGGACACGCTCTCGAGAAAATTCGTTTCTGCGTGACCCCTGATTGGGGAGTTGTCCACTTGCGAATGCTAGGCCAAGCCCAATAAGGTAGATCGGGACTGCGGGTGACGGGCAATGAACGGGATGAGAGGTGGCACCAGTGCCACAGCCTTTGCACACGAAGTGGAGAGGGGAATGCGCCTCGGCTGCTCATGAATATATACCATATGTTGCACGAGGCATCGCACCCCCTGGACCGATTTTCAAGCCTCGAGTTCTCCACAGCAAAACAATGACGGCGACGACAATGGCGGCGTTAAAAACGTTTCGTCGAGAGCTGTTCGAAACCGTGTAAAGTCTTGATTCGGCATCCTCGTCGTCGCGGAGTGTACTCGAGCCTTGAACATCGGTGCAAGGGTTTGTGGTCCTACGGTGCTGTCGTTGTTTCGTGAAGAAACTGCTGTGTCTGTCCCAGTTCCCCACCCTTACTGCAACACAGCTTCAAATCGCGGCCGCGTTTTTTTTGCGCACCCCGCACCTGCATATGCATCTTCCCCCCGCACTCAAGAATGGTGGCCACAACTCTGGGATGCGGCACAGCGGAGGTGATCTTTCGCGCTCGCTCGTAGACTTCCCTGGCAGCAAAAAAAAAAAAAAAATGAATTGGGTGTGTGCCGAGGAGAAATACGCGGAGGCGATCATACAACTATTGTAGAGGGACGCCTGGACACGACGGCAATGGCAACAATGTAGGTACGACACAGAAACAGCTACGATAACAGCAGCAGCAGCAGCAGCAACAGCAGCAGCAGCAGCAGCAGCAACGACAACAACAACAGCAACAACGACAACGTCACCACCACCATCACCAACAACAACACCAAGGACAACAACAACAGCAACAACGACAACGTCACCACTACCATCACCAACAACAACACCAAGGACAACAACAACAACAACAACAACAACAACAACAACAACAACAACAAACAACAACAAACAACGACGATTACAGCATGATTTGGAAGCTAAGCTCAAAGATGGTAGACAGGTCGTGCGCAGGGTGTTAGGGGGAAAGACCGAACTAGAAAACGGCCGCGGGAATCGGAAGCGGGGTGCCAACATGCAGAACACGAACAGGAGTGGGGAGGGAAAGAGGAAACGGCGGGGTTCATGGAGGACATCATCAACGGCTCAAAACATGTGCTGATGAAGAGCGCCTGATCGGGATACACCCGAACAATGCGCATGTCGGCACGGCACCCCCCGCAACCTCCCCGCACACGCGCCACACGCATGACAACACACCTCAGTTTCTTCTGGTCCCTTTGTCTCGAGTGCATGAGGATCTGCAAGGAGAATATCTCGAGCAGCTGCGTCCCCCGCTTGACGGCGTTGGTGTCGTCGTCGTCCCCGTTCCCCTCGTTCTTGCAAGCCCTGCATCATCGCCGTATGTATCACCATCCAACGAAACACAAAACAAACATAAAGCGTATCGATGGTGAGGACAACTCTAACCCTAAACCTTGCAAGCCCTGCATCATCGCTGCATGTATCACCGTCCAACGAATCACAAAAACAAACATGTAACGTATCGATGGTGAGGAGATGAGGACAACTCCAACCCTTGCAAGCCCTGCATCATCGATCGCGGTCGACGTCAAACGAAAACAAGAGAATTAACGCGAAAAGAAGCGATGACGACGACACGTGAAAGGAAATGTAAGCGTCCGCTCCCGCTGAAATGGGTGGAACATAACCAACGCGTTCGTCCCAGGAAAGTACTACGTCGTCTTGCAGGGGTCCGTCCATCCGTCCGCTCGGCACCGCGCCATTCTTACCCTTCACATGACACTCAATATTTGCCAAGGATCCACGTTGCGTGGAACCGGCACACTCGTGTAAAACACGACATGGGTATTAATGCTACGAGACACGTGTTTTGCGGCGTGGGTCGCAATGTGTAAGCACAACATGTGGACCTGAAGCCGCAAAAAAAAAGTCCTCTTGCATGCCGGTTGTCCCTGGTCCCATCGCACGACATCCAGGACTCCGCCACTAATAATACTATGACCACGAACAACGACTCACAAGACATTACGACAATGAACGTCACGGATGATGCGGACAAAAATCTCAATCAAAAATGAAGACCTTCCATTGCTGTATGAATACCAGCGGGTAAATAAGGAGAGCGGCTCAGTGCGGTTGGTTGAATCGGCATGCGAACAACAGGCAGATATGGCCAATGCACGAGGGTCGCGGCCCGTAAAAAAAAATCACACGTAGGCATGACACAGGTGTGTGCCCTGTTCGGCTAAGATTCAAACCTCGCTTTACAACGCGTACCCCCCCCGACGCCTGCTGCCTTCTATCGTTCTCACTTCAGTAATTCCTTGATTATCCTCTGGAGCCTGCCCATCTCCCCCACATCGTACATCAAGTGTCCCAGCTTCAGGTTACATTTGAACCACAGCCTGTTGTTCTTGTGCTCCCTGGGTCACGCGAGACCCAGACACAAACAGAGACGAGGCGGAGACGGCCGGGAGGGCGGTAGCAGTAAGGCGACCGACGGGGCTAGAGCGGGCAAATAGTTAGAGCTGGGCCATCGACGATACAGTCATCCCCCAGTTGAGGACACCATTTTTAAGGGCACTCTCCCGGCTAAGGACAACTTTTTTTTTTCACAGGCATGGTGGCTCGCAGAATGCCCAACTCAACGAAGGGAATCAACCTTAAGGACACTTCCCCGGCTTAAGGACACCTGTTTAAACGAAGAACCATTTATGCCCTTAACCGAGGTTTGACTGTACCTGCGGAGTGTGTCAACCACCCCGGCTTAAGGACACCTGTTTAAACGAAGAACCATTTATGTCCTTAATCGAGGTTTGACTGCACTGTACCTGCGGAGTGTGTCAACCTTACGGACACTTCCCTGGCTTAAAGACACCTGTTTAAACGAATAACCAGTTATGTCCTTAGCCGAGGTTTGACTGCACCTGCGGAGTTAACTGATCGAGGGTGCAAGTTGTTCCTACGAGGCGCAACGGTGCGAAAAACGTGGCCGACACGACCATGAAATCCCAACACGCATGCCAAGATCGAATCGCAATCACGAAGCAATGTAAACATGAAGCAAGACTCGCCTGAGCGTATCCAGCGTCTGCTCGTAGAAGCCCTTGAGAAGGCCCCAGTCGTTGGAGGAGGACACGTAGTCCAACACGCTGTTCACGCCCTTCTCCCCCACGTTCTGCGAGACGGCTCCCTTCGTATACCCTTATATATTTTTCCGTCGGTTTTAGTTGGCGTTAAGTGAAACGAAAAGGTCGGCGTCCCAAACAAGAATTGCGTCATGAAACCATTGTTCGGCCGGTCGGGGGGTGGAGCGTTTGCTCCCTGTATAAGTGTGTCGTAGATCTGCCGTAGATCTGTCGTAGACGTGAAGGCAATCAATCTCCGCCGGAGTAGCACCGCTCCAGACACGGTCGAAGGGTGAAAAGTTGTACATGGGGGAATCAGAGACGATTGGCACGAAACCACGACCACAACCGCCAAAAGTGTCGGAAGTAGCAGAACCTTTCGCGGTGGCCTCTTCGTCGACTCACCCAACAGCTGCGTGTAGCAGTCCGTGAACTCTTGGAATGCCGACATCTTGAAGAGCAGCTTCATCATCTGCTTCAGTGCCTTGAACCCCCAGATCCCTTGCTCCTCCTCCTGCGCCATGACCTGCCCCGTAGAAGACGAGAAGGAACGCAAGAAATCAGGAAAACAAAACGAAAAATCGAGCTGCGCTACGCATACTGAAATCTGCACAATCGCTAAACACAATCCATAATCGTTGGGCGTCAAAAAGCAGAGACCAAACAAAAAAGAAAGGGTCGCCCTTCCAAGGTTAGGAGCAGACAGTCTCGGCGTGGATATGATCGCAAGTTGCTTGCGTCAAATGAGATATGCAAGATTCCCGACCTAGAGATAAAAAAAGGAATGTTGTATGGCAAACGGCCGTATACTTTATAATTTTTCGCCGGCTAGTGAGACAACCGTTATCTTCTCTTATGCTTCCATGTTGATTCCCGAGGGTCCTCTATCCTCCTCCTCCTCCCCCTGTTGTTACGCCACCCAAAACCTGTCCGTCGAAGCGCTAAGTTCGCGCGTGGCGTGACCACGTCCCTGCCACTTGGGGAAACAACCCGAATTTGGTCTGTCCGGGGATCGGTCGGGATGTGACCAATCTACGTTGTAATCCACGCAAGACAAGGCGAGATCACCAGCCCCCCCGTCCCAGCATCGACAATAATATAGGGAATAGTGTACTGCAATTTTATAGGGAATAGTGTACTACAATTGCATAGGGCGTAGTGTACTACAATTGTATAGGGAGTAGTGTACTACAATTGTATAGGGAATAGTGTACTACAATTGTATAGGATAGTGCACTACAAATGTATAGGAATAGTGTACTACAATTGTATCGGAAATAGTGTACTAAAATTGCATAGGGAAAAAGTGTAGGGACACTGCTCCGACACGGGCCCGGGCAGTCTGGCCAGACGGGAAAAAAGGAGACCTGATCGAAAACAACGGGCACACCCCACTCTCCGTCCCGTCCCCGGAGACGTGCCACACAGACAGCCTTTACATCCCGCGAACAGCAAACGCAAGGATCATGACCAGCTTCTGTTGTGAACGTAGCCTGGGCCGGCGAAACAACAGCATATCGTTCCGTGCCGGATGCGAGGTCAATGGTCTAACGACGACTGCGGCGGGCGCCTATATTCCTGAGTACACCCCCCCCCCCCGTGGTCCCTATCTGGTTTGGCGCAGCAAATGCAAGGACGACAAGTAGCTTCTATCTTTGTGAATTGTAGCTTGGGCCGGCGAAAACCCGGCATTTCGCTCCGTCCCAGATGCGAGGTCAATGGTCCAACGGCTACGACATGCCTTTACATGAGTACACTCCCCTCCCCCCCCCCCCCCCGCCGTTTGTGGCCCTTGTTTTTTTCTTCTTGCCTCTCGAAAGGCTTCCACCGCAGCCTTGGGGTCTTCCGCCTTGAGCGCCTTGGCTGAGTAGTAGCTGTTCTCGAGCCCGACGTCCGTCTCCTCCTGTTCCTCTTCCGAGTACTCGAAGTCGTAGTCCTCCTCCTCGTCGCTCCTGAAGTTGGCAGCGTTTTTTTTTATCTCACGTCAGATAGACGACGATCTACATTACAGCAGCGGAGGTCCCCGAACAAGGCTGTCTGAATAAGGCGGTCGCCCCGACATAAGGCGGGTGAACTTGAACGGCATAGACGGAAAAATCAGGTTGGTTCTGCACATTGAATTGAGGCGGCTGCCCCGCAAAAGGGCGGCCATGTGTTATCAGCTGCCCCATCACCGCCATGTTCGGCGACTCCCACTGCTGTAGCTCTTGCTGCTGATAAAACCAACCGGCAAAGATGAGTAGACAACCTGCACTTGTGGCACAAGCTCACAAAACGGCATGTATGCCGGTTGAGTGGGTTGGTGCGTGCGCGACCGCTGTCCGTGGATGGGTAGGTGCTGGATTGGTGTGCAACGGGTGCGTTGCCCACGGCAGGGTAGGGTGGTGCATCGTCTTCGTTCACACATGATGGAGACCCGCTACAGCAGTAGTAGTGGTCCCGGCTCGATGTCGGTCGCCCGGAACAATTGAGCCGGTGAAATAGTCTGGCACGGATGGAATCTTCAAGTCGTTTCATACTCTGAATAGTGCCCGTTGCCCGCTACAATTATATTGATGCTGGTGAAATCGGCTGGATCGCACCGGCATTATTGTATTCCGCGACCCACTATGTAATTGACTCCCTCTAGTTTCGATCGACCATGTGGCAGGCACCTCTGCTTGCTGCTGTTGTGCACCGACACGTTGCTGCGCCACCTTTAATCTTGTAGACCGCTATGCATGCGCATACCGGTATCAAAACAGACATAGGATTACTGCTGTACATGTGTTTCAAGACACGCGAAACACAGGGGAGGAACGAGAAGAGGAGCAGGTGAACTGTAGCCTCTTTAGGTAGCGTAGTCTAGACTATGCATTGTCGCGAAACAGAGACATGCGGGCTTCGCTCGATTGGAAGTCGACTTCTACGCCTGGCTGATTTAGATCAAAGGCGGGCGCGCCCGCATCCGAGTACTTCATCACTACATCTTTGCTGCATGGTTCCTATACTATTTTCTGCTGTACTCTCCCGGCTGTTGGTGTAAGCAAATAACTTGTTGAGAGGATCTGCAGGGGCAGCAGCAGGGCTTTATTATGCTTAAGTTGACGGGTCACAGACATTGCACAGCAGTCCCAGAGATTGAACGAGCTATTGCGAACCCGAGGAAGCAGTTTTTCGTCGTAGCTGGTGAAGTAACGAGTGCCCCTCCTGCTACATAAGCTCCTGCCTGCTGCTGCGTGCACAGCTGACACGTACAATTGCATGGGTCTTTCAGCGAAGATTTCCAAATGTCACTGCTGCAATATATCCGACTTTTCGAGTACATGCCGCAGTACTTCGAGAGCTCCGCCAACAAGCCGCAGGGCTGTTACACCAAAGCCTATCAACCAAGCCGCGGATAACTCACATGGTAAAACGCCGCTCTTCCCGCGGTGCACCTGGCCGACTGCGTGTTGTAGCTGATGTCGCTGCTGCCGCAAGGACACGGACGGCAGTGTCCATATGTCCATATCTGCCGAGCCCCCCCCAGAATCCTCTCCTTCGCAGAACCCCTTGAGATGTCAAGTGGTGCACTACACTGCCTGCTGCACTCGAGCCACACCTACACGGCTGCTAACAGGAAGGCATCATGTCTATGCTGCTACGAAGAGCGCGGCCCTTGTCATGGGTGAAGTCAGCAGAGCGGCGAACCGCGTTGTTGCCAACAAGCGCTCGAGGACGTCGTCAGCTAGGGTGAGTCTTTCGCACACAGCCATGTACATGACTGCTACTGCGGTACTGCTGTACACTACAACTTTGATGTCGCATGAGACACTCGCGGCTGGTACCATACACCACCATGCGCCTACAGCATGGGACTTGCAAGGGTGGATATGTTGGTCCGGGTTGAGTGTTCCTTTAAAGGAAGGCAGCCTTTGCAGCTCTCCGCTCGCTGCTCCTCTCCTGTAGAGGTTGTGCCGCATTTTTTTCATTCTGCGGTCCTCCACGCCTGTGAGTTCACCCGCGCCTGTAGGTCTACTGCTGTAGTCGTTCTTGCATGGCATGGTGGTATGGTGATGTATCCCGTGAAACACCCCCCAAAGGGGACGCGAAATTCCAGCAAACCTTTCGAGCCTATGGACGTACACCTGGTTCGAGAGGTCTCGCTACAGGCAGCAGTGTAAAGAAGCAGAGTTAATCATTACATACACCGTCCGTGGGCGTGCGTAGAGGGAGGCTGCTGTAGACCGACTTTCAAAGCTCGATGGTGGCTCTGGAAACATCTCGTCGAGGGCTTTCGTAGACCTATCGGGTTCTTTCCACGCCCAATTGGTTGTGGAGCAATCTAGCTTTGAAAGACAGTTAAGGACGGTGCCATCTCTCCGCCTCCTCCGGTACTGTTGTGCGGGTGGCTCGAGTCCCAACGGCTACCTCCCGTGTCCACTACAGCAGTATGCGTGCTGGCCGGGGTGTACTGCCGCTGTACTTCGACACGGGCATTTGCAGCGAGCCGCGGGCCCCCCTACCGTTTTGAAAGAGGGCATATAAACTAGCAGTAGTGCGTCCCGTTTGTAGCACGTGGACTTGGCAAAACAAGCGCGCACGTGTCTTCAACGTTCTCCCAAACTGTAAATGTTGTTGAAAAGAGCTACTGCTGCTGTTTTGTGCCTCCAACAAGAAAGCACACATGATTTGGAAAACTGCTTGTACGTTGCGTCCGTCACCCGTAGTACCGTCAAGGTGATCCTCACTGACGACGTCAGCGGGACGGGCTACAGGGGCGAGTACGTGGACATCCGCGGGGGCTTCATGAGAAACTTCTTGTTCCCCTCCAAGAGAGCAATATACGCCACCGATGACAACAGGCTGGCGTACGAGGCCGTCGATCGGGTGAGAGAAGCGAGGAGGCGCTCGAATGCGCAGGCCGGTTGTACGCCACTACAGCAGTAGTCGTGGTGTAGTGCCGAAAGGGCAAGGCGTGTACATGCCTTCGAGTTGATCAAGCCCTCTCGCTTGGTTGTCTGATCGTTGTCTCTTAGTCACCACCTGACAGACATGTTGACCTCCCCTCCGCCCGATGAGTTTTTTATGGTTCCCCCTTTCGCCGTTCTTGGTGAACCACGGTCGTTGGCGACCTGCTGGTATTCACGCGTTTTGCGTGTTGCACAAATTCCAGACAGCGGAGAAGGAGAGAGCCGCGGCCTTGAAGGCGTTGAAGCGAGGCCGACAGGAGCTCTCGGGCATTACGATAGTCTTGAAGCGAAACATGCCGGCAGGGGGGAAAGGAGGGATGACGCCTGGTCAGGCTGTAAGGTACGAACGCCCCGCGTTGCGAGTGACCAGTTGACAATAACGATCTGCCAGCATGTGCATGCTCCCGTTCTTTCTGGGACTACGTTTCGGTGACCATGTGGCTCTGGCGGTATTCACCGAAAACCTCCCCAACTCGTGAGGGGTCTCAAAGGTGACGCTGCAAAAATACCAAAAACCTAGCGCGCCATCCGAAAGGCTCTCCTCTCGGCCTCATTTTCATATAGGCGCAGGCTCTGTTGTCCCGCCCGCGCGCGGCAGCCTCCGCCGCTGCCTCTGCCACTGCTGCCGAGTGCACTGTTCACCCTGAGCATGACACAGATCCTGTTTGTCCTAGCTGACAGTCCCGTGCGGCGCACTGTATGAGTGTAGGCTTCAGCGGTTCAGTGCGCAACGGCAAGCATACCGAATTTCGCTGCTCCCGGACAACGCTCTCTTTTTGAATGCATGCACGAGCGTTTTCTTTGGTATTCCGGCTGTTTTCGGATTTTTTGTTGTATTTCGTCTGCATCTCTTGCCGAGAGGGTGGCGCCTTCTCTGCTTATTCTTTGTGCTGCCCTCAAATGCATCCAGGGGTGGATACCATGCGTAGCTTCGTGTTCATATTGGGTGAAAAATTGGGTGAACAAGAACATGCATCATTTGTAAACCGAGCACAGGTCGCATGATTGCTCATCTTGCGTCATTTGTAAACCGAGCACAGGTCGCATGATTGCTCATCTTGCGTTGCTTCGTGTCCAGGCTCTGCCTTCGTAACCAGCTACTTTTTTGTGCCTTTGTACCGGAACTTGTTCGCAAACGCCCGACGGCATGTCTTTCGCAAAGAAGAGAACTCTAGCGTCCTTTACGACACCACCAAATATCATATGAGGAAAACAAGCATACAACCAAAAGAGTACCCCGACTTTCTATTTTACCCTGGCCCACACAAGCAACAACCCAAAGATGTCAGCGACTGCATGCGCGAAACAAGCACGGCCGTTTAGCACGAAATCGTCTCATCACAACCGAGTGGAAAATGAAAAGTCTCGACCGCGCATTCACAGCCTCTCCAAACCCACCCTTGCCTCTCAACATCGGTGGAGTAGTTGGGCTCTGAAAATCGGTCCAGGGGCTGTGACATCTTGTGTCACATACGGTACTCGCATTTTTTTTTACCTTGGGGCCAGCCGATTGGTGAAGCCAGGGTGCTCACGCACGAACGCGCCGTTTCAACCCCGTGCTTGCGAACCCAGGGCCAAGGATGTCAGCGGCTACCTGCGAAAGAACTCACCGTTCGAGGTGACGGAGGAAGAGGTACGGCTCCCGGGGAGCGGGAAGCCGATCACGACGGTCGGACAGCACACGGTGCTGGTGCGCACGAAGCTGTCCGAGTCTGAAACGGCCATCCTCGCGGGGGAGCTCGGCGCCAAGGAACTCGAGGAGAAGGCGTGGGTGCAGGTGGAGTTAGTGGTGGAGCAGATGAGCGTCGGAGGCAAGGGGAACCGCCAAGTTGTTGGGAAGGAGGAAGAGGCCGGGGAGGAGGAGGAGAAGAAGACTGGTGACATGTCGGTTCAGTCTAGCGCTTAGCTTGCTTGCGTAGATGGGTTCTTCCGTTGTCGCAATGCTGTTCCCTTCTCTTCGACTACAGCTCGTGTTGGATTTCGACAGTTTGTCTTTTTTTATCTGCACTCGCTGCCTCGGTGTGGAGTGTGTGATTGGATCATTGCCGTCGTCTCGCAGGGCGGTGGTGAGTCCACAACGCGCGGAAGAGTCTGGCTTCCCCGAATCCTCATGAGAAATGCGGGAGAAAAAGGAGGTTGATTGTTCGTCTGCGTTCGTTTCTGTTGGCGGGAAACATGCATGGACTGTGTAGCGGTTTCCTCAGGATGATGACACCGATTTCGGTTGGTGTATCGTTGTATGCTCCTTGGCAACGGTGTTAGGCATGGGATTACTCGCGGGCAAACGAATGAAAAGTCGAAGGACCAAGATCTACGCAGCTGCCGGTTGGCCATGTGCAGCCGCAGCTGGCAAGACGGGCTGTTCATAGGTCTTTTGCCTTTTGAGGCCATCTTGTAAAGGCCCGCGTCGCTTGTTCGGAGCAATGTTTTTGCTCAGCGTCCATGAGACCTATGTTGTCTCAGCATGAGATGCCTCTCACTTACGTAGGGTCGCAGCCGCCGTGATGCGTGCACTTGCCGCTTTTGGTCTCCGGGGACCCTTTCTGGAGGTTTTCGCCAACAAGTCAATATGCACCCCAGGGAGAAGAATGTGCCCCCCCCCACTTCTCATTCCACGCTCCCCCAAGCATTCCTTCTTCGTACTCTAGCAAATCGTGTCCAGGCATCCTTTTCATTATAACTCTCTTTTCCCCTAGGAAACAAAAAATCAGAACGAAACGCCTACCTTACTTGCTGGGGGTATGTGTCCAGGTACAGCAGGCTTGCGCCGGGCACTGCCCCCCCCACCCACAGCGAATCATCTAACGCGTCAACGGCCTACAGCTGTAGACTAGTGCCCCGAACTTTGGTCGGTCTCAGGTAGACCACACGCGGTCGAGCCCTGCCTACCCTGCGCGATTTTGGCTTCCGCCTCTAGTTCGCGAGTACACTCACGTCACGATGACTGCCCAAAACGCGTGGAGATCCTTCTCCTCCTTGTTGCAATGGGGGAGAAGAAGCCACAAGCTCGGATTGTGCACTACTGGCCTCCCGTTCGCTTTCGAAACTTTTTCGTCGCTCACTTCTGGGAGAGAGACGAGTGCCAAACATATTGGAATAGTTTAAGGTGCGTGCGTTACTTTGTTCGCATGGATCAGAAACGGAGATCACCAGGGACACGAATCCGCGACCAACTTTGATTTGCCGAGGGTGTCCATAACAGGCATTTGAACCCGAAGGCCAAACCGAATTCATTTTTGCTGCAAAAAAAGTCTTGCCGAGTTCCTCGAACGGGTTTCTTACTCCCCGATTCCTCCGTCATTCACCCCATGCCCTTGAACTCCATATGTTGTCTTTGTCTGTCTCCCACAACCCACAACCACATTCATTGACACGTTCGGTGCGCTCACCTTTTCCTCTCGGAGCTTCGAAATATTTTTTCGGGTGCCTGCATGTAAGGCCATCAGCACGGCGAGTAATATGTGCCTACGTAGACTCATGCTCAACGATTATCACATGGGATGTCGGTCCCCCCCCGTTTGCCTTCACATGACCGAGATTGAGGTTCCGATATTCCGCTTTCATGTCTCAGTCTCTATATGGTCCCTACCTGCTGGTCAGCTGCACCGCGGGCGGGGATGTGTAGAGCTACGAAAAGAACGCGCTGCTGTGCAGCAAGTAGCCTAGGACATCGGATGGCGGAGTGTGTACAACAGATGACCGGTTCGGTCGGACCCCACACCAGCCCTTTGAGGATCGCGCACGTTCGACCTTTCGCCAGCAACTCCGCATGGCGAGGTTGGCCCCATCACAGACCAAACTCGGTGGAACAGGATGGCAAAAAAGGGCCGGTGGTGCTAGTGTGGGTTATTGTTCCTACAATGCAGTACAAGCAGGGGAACGATCCCAGGTCACTCTAAGTCAACCCGGTGCATGCTCTATCACCCAGTGTACTGTAGTCAATGTGCTCTAATAGTCCTTGAATGGAAGAGTGAGACTATGAGTGGGCACTCTCAAGTCATGCCTACCGTCGCGGGCGGCAACGAAATACTCTACCTATTGTATGACAGAGCAAGAAAAGAGGGATGTACCCAACTTCGCATCGATGCAGAGTGATTGGAGAACATGGCAGCGAGTATCTTCTCTTTAACGATGCAATTACCTTTCCCGCAGGAAGACAAAAAAAATGTGTGAACTCATCTCTTCGTCAAAGGCTAGTCGGGTCAACTCCTCGGCCTTCCATCTGTTTGCAGATCACCCATTGGCCACACACAACTTCAACCGAACTCAAACGTTTGAAGATCCGATTGTGTTCATGGGAGTGAAGAACGAGCACGACTTCCCCCGACCTCTCATTCCACTATTCACAGCTCTAGCTACCAGAAAGCTCCTTCTACCACCAGAACCTTCCACCGACAACTTCAATGCCTGTGAATCACCATGTTTTCCTTCAACGACTTATTCGCCGTCTGGGCTTTCGTGTGGGCGTGGATCGTTGCGAACCTCGCGATGGTTGTCGCAAGCGTATCGGCGGTCGTCGTCTCCGTTCCCGTTCTGTACTTTTCCGTTAAGGCTTTCCGACACGCCTGCCAAGAGGGCGGCATCATGAGCAGAATCTTGGCCAACCTGCGCCGTCTTGCACCTGGCCTTTCTGCCATTAGAGAACCTCGCAACCCAATGGAGATTATGGAAGAGGTGAGTCAAGTAGGCCCGGATGCATTGGTGCGATACTTCGTTTGGCAGAAGCCCCAGAGCTCAATATTTGGCCGAGAGAAGTTGGTCGTTGTGTACAATCTCCCAGTTCAACACACGAGGTTAACAGAAGGAAACTGGATACGCAGTGTCCACGTCGAAGCGTTGGTCTCTTAACTTCGCAGCTTGATGTCGTACAACCTTGAACTCGCCAACCAATGTGGTAGATTGTTCATACGTTGGTGGGGCATTGTCTATCAAGAACCCTTCGGGCACTAACCTCCAGCGTTCGGCACAACACGATTTACCAGTAGTCATAATCGAGCCAACTACTGTAGTCGGTCTAACACCTTGTCAACAACCTTCGCTGTATTTGCCACGTGACACGTTCTCGACTTGTCAATCAGAACATGTACGTCTCATGCTGCATCTCCTGCTGACCTTCCATCTCTTTCTAAAGTGTTGCATCCCGTCCCAACGATCTCAGACAGTATGCCGAAGTAAGGGACTGCTCTCTTTCCCTCAGCTGCCGCTCGTTTTCTCTCTGCTTCTTTATTACTGACTCTCTGATCTCCTTTTTTTATGTCCCCCTACTGTATGCCGGTCACTTTCTCCCTCAGAGTTTATAAAATTGACTCCTCCAGCTTCTCCCTCTCCATACGTCTCTCTCTGCTGTGCGCGTGTGCGTCTGCCCACATGGCATATCGCTATGCTGTTGTCTTTGCTCTTCGCAGGGTATTTCTTTTCCCCCTCTGAGGGTCATCCAGTTGACCTTCAAACGCCTGTCTCCCCAACTCCGTCGCGTGGAGTTAAGGATGATCCGCACCGTCAAGAGCATGTACGTGATGCTCGACCAGACGCTCCTCGGACCCGCTTCCTCTTCGTCCAAAGGTCCGATGGACAGCATGAACGACGCATGCTCCTTAGTGGCCAGAACGGTTGCCACCCTTGTGAGTTGGGACGCCTCAACGGCTGTCATTTCTCTGGTCAATCCCGCCAAGGATGTGACGGACTTGTTCTCCGACCGCGCCAAGAGAAACGGGTGAGCGCATTCGAAGCAGGGCGCCTACTTTGCGCGATGGCTTGCATTCTAGAACAAGCTGAGAACCTTGGAGAGTGAAAACTCACACCGAAAATACAAGAGACGTTTCCTTTGGTATTGAGCACATAGTCCCTCGCAATCTGAATTGTTTTTCGGTCTGCCATTTTATGGTTCAATACAAGTTATTGTTCTTTTTGCCCTTGCTCGTCCTTCAATGAATCCGGGCTCAGGTACGATGGGATGAGCCGGGGGCGCCAGACCCACTTCGCTGCGTTGTTGCACCAGCGAGCGATCGCCATGGAGGAGGTAATCGAGCAGGCGCTCTGGGCGGTGAGTATTTGCATGTGAATACATACAAATTATAGTAACATGCGGCGCAAGGCCGGGGTTAGTGTTGGCTATGTGCTCCCTTTCCTAAAACGATCTTGGCTTGCAGCATGATATCCGAGCGTGCCGTCCTCTTCGTTCATGTTTTCCCCGGGGCCTGTTGAACACAAGACAATATTGAAGGCAAGGTACGTAGGGGGGGCCGGGTATGATACATTTGCTGAATTAATTTGTGCGGAAATGGATGCAAAATCGAGGACCAGTAACAAAACAAGACCGTACCCGCCCTCTGCTGCTCCCGGCTTGATCCCACAAACCACAGGGAACAATGCCAGAGATCCCCGTCGGGTTGCGAGACGTCCCCAGCATCATCGGCCTCCTGGAACGCGACGACCGGATCAATGCCGGCAGAGTCAATGATGCAGGACGAGGCAATGTGAGCAAGGGCAAGGGCACCGTCGAGTCGGGCGTCGAGTTTATTCCGTACCGCCCCCCGTCCACGAACGCCGAGCCTTGCGCTTCCCACGTGCCTGACAGCGGCATCGCCCTCTCTTGGCAGTGATGCACAAGAGAGAGAGAGACGGACATAGCTGGACAGAATGGAATAGGCTCAAAGAAAGGATTTCGCTCTTTCCCAGAGAGGTAGTCCTCGCTCGTACATCGTGTGGCTACCAGTCTTTGTCTGCTCGAGGGAATGAGCGACGAAACCAGACAACCCTGTTTGAAAAGTATTTCGGCACTAGTGTAATTGATTCCAAATTCAGCCGGTTGTGGGAGGGTAGACTACATCGATACCATGTGTTTATACGTTTTCGGAATGGTATCCAAGTCCTTAGGAATTTGAAGTATTTTTGTGATTGGGTCTTTTTGTCGCGACGCCTGCACTGGCGCCCAGAGGTGAAGGTTGTGCACCGACGACAACCTGACAAGGGTTGGATGTGGAGGTTGAGAGAACGGGAACGACTTTGAGCCTATTATATCTCTGCCTTTGTTGCGCTAGCCCACCGTGTCAGCTGGAATCTCGCCACTTTCCGAGATGCGGGAATAGACAGAATGTGGTCGGTGCTCAACTTACCCACAACCTGATTTACCTCTGGCCACCAGTGTGTCCTCTGCATGTGTCACCTGCTTGCTTGGGCCTGCAATGCCCTGTTCGAGACATGGCACTCTCGTACTTCGAGACGAACACGTTGTTGTTGCTGTATGTTGTAGACGGCTCTACAGTAAATTGGACAATTGCTCGAAATGAAAAATATTGGTGTGCAACAACAACGCCCACGCGTTTTCGAAACGAACGCATTCTAACTACCTTTTATCATGAAATACACCACGAATCTCACAAGATGTGCAACAAACTTTGTGGGAAGCGATACCTTCGGGTGAACACATGTTGCTGTCTTCACATGACAATAAACCGTTCCAGGTCTCCGCTCAGTACCTTCTAATCCGTACTCGTCTAATTGGCGCCTTCCGTAGTCATAAGCCAACTACCCAAAGAGGAGTACACCTTTTTTGAAGCGAAATTTTTTAATAAAAATGCACCCGAGAAAAGAGGTATGCACGTATTGTACTCCTACAGAGATGTACCAGCGACGTTTCGAAACGCCTGCTGCGTAAAATGGTCGGTCGCGTTCCTGTGTGGTGGACACATGCTACCCTCTAAAGGCAATGTGAACGATGAGCCCGTGCGGCAAAGCATGTGTCGTCACTACTTTTTACGAAGCAATATGTAAACTAAACAGTTTGCCCGCGGCCTACTGTATGGATCTCCGGGGCACTCATAATCTGTGCGATCTCAACGACCCCGCTTCGGACATACCGATCGGCCTATGCTTCATTTAGTCTAGACTATTCTTATTCTTGCACTCCTGGTGCCGTCTCTCGCACTCTTGCGGAATGTACTATCACAGGAAGATCTGTACGGGGTGACCGCTCGGAAGCTACAGAGCAGAGAGAGGTTAAGAGTCCTCCGATCTACAGCAGTATCTACTATAGAATCTCTTACCGTCGTCAATAATCATCGTGGACAGCCTGCAGACGAAAACGGTTAGCCGGTTTCATTGTCACCCCCCAACTCTGCGAAGCTAGACTACACGCTATTTCGGTATGTACATGTCTTTCGGGTTCTTTTATCTGATGTGGGACAGCGTGCTTGCTGCACCTTGCTATTAGGTAGGACTCACGCGAGGACGGATGAGGTGAGCGATGTTTACAGCAGTACTTGTGCTGCCGAGGACCGAACGGCGCGGGTTACGCCGCAGGCTGAACCCCCTTGTGTACCTTTTCGGCTAAATGCACCAGCACGTGATTCCGCCGCGTTTGGCTGGTTGCACCTGCTCTTCCTCCTGCCGGAGGGGAGGGTTACGGGATACGGACTCACACAACAGCACAAGACTGCACTCTGCCAAGTTACGAAGTCTTGTTTCGTTCTTATCATACCAGCGTGAAGAAAACCCTCGCCGTTCTGCATCACCAGCCTCGCCGCTGCTGGCTGCGCCAGTGCAGGGCAACACGAGAGACATTACGCCTGACCCGTTACGGCAGTCGATGCCAAGTAAGGGGCGCACATCATCCACGCTGCACGTGACGAACATATCATCGTGGTCAATAGAGCGATGAGCGCTAGAAGACGAGAGGATCTCGAAACGGCCCTTAGGAGAACCCTCGGTTTTCACCTCGGAGCGGATGTGGCAGGTGACGACGGGGAGGTGCTGGTATCGGCCCTTCTCGACAGCGCCGAGGAGGGAAAGCTGATGGACAGCGCGGCGGTCGGTCGTGAGTTCGACAACTACCTTCCCAATGTTGCTTGTGCCGCGAGTAGCAAAAGCTCGCTGTCTTCCCCGTCGTCTGAGCAGAAGGAGGAGGAGGTGGAGCTGTACGAGGATGTCTTGAGGTTCGTGCGCAGAAAGCCTTGACAACGGCGGCCTATTTGTCGCAGTTGCCTTCTACTGTCGGCACATCCCTGCTAAAAAAAGTAGAGTAATGTACTTTTTGATTGTACAAATGTAGGTGAACATGTCAGACAAACGCTAATTCATTCGAATACTCAGACAGCGCCGACTGAGTAGTCTCATGGATTACAATGTACCAGACTTTATATCTGATCTATGATAAAACAGCAGAAGTAACATGCCTGCCTGCGTCGGTTTGCCACTGGGCCCGTTCGGGATTGCATCTGTTGGGGGCTTTTTTGTTGACCCTTTCCTAACAAAATGCCCTCCCATGGGCGCAAGGTTGAGATTGGGGAACAGCATTGAAACACGCGAATTTGTCGTAATTGAGTCACAAACTAAACTTTCGCAGCTCCTCCGACGTTCAGTGTACCAGCAAGAACCTGTTGCATGAACATGCCGATGGATGATGCCAAAGGTTTGCACACGCCGCATCTAACGGGGAGACATTCAAGGGCTTTCAGAGCCCCCCGTGGTACGCCAAACCCTCCCGGGTGCGACTGAGCGGTGCCAGTGTATTTTCAACTCGAACGCGACGATTCAACAACCAACCCGCACAGAGTGTGCTTGCATGTTGGTCCTGCAATAAGACTGAAGTACTTGTATTGGTGAGCCGACTGGAGGGGTAGACACCATTCAACACACGCCATCACGTTTGACACACCTCTGGCGTCCTCTTCGTTTTTCCGGACGACCTTGTCAACCAATTCGCTTTTACCTGCAGGGACGCGTTGAAGCATTTCCCGCTAGCCCCTTCGAACCCGGAAGAGGAAGGCAGCGGTAGCGGAGAAGACGACAGCGTGTCCGAACCAGGGTGCTGTTCGCTGTGCGAGAGGCTAATGCCGCTGACGCGCCACCACGTTATGCCCAAGTGAGTAATCGACAGGTCAACCGTCGTCACCAAACAGTGCCCTGTTGTCGTTTTCTTGTGCCCTTTGGAAGGGGAATGACCCCAGTGTTGTAGAGCATACCCGTCGAGCGCTTCCCCACCTTTGCCAGCCAACTAAATCTATTTAGTGAGCTTGGGGCGGGTGTGTGTGTTGGTTAATAAACATTTCCTGGTTGTACCTTGATAGTGGTCACCGCACGGGTACGCGTAGCATCGTACAGCTGCTGGACGTGCTGCTGCCACTCTCCTCGCGCACCTCCACCGTCACAATGCACTCGCATGCAAATGCTGTAGGTATAATACAGCGGGTAAAATCGCTAACCGCCGGCGGTCAACCACTCTGCCACCGGTTTGTTGTCCCCTTGCGCCGCCAGCGCCCTTGCGTTTCAGTTTTGTACTTCTACACCATTGTGCAACAATGATCCACGCAACAGCGTGTTCACTATCAACGCGCCCACAACACCCCGCTCCCCCCACTTCAAACACGCTGACATCCTCTTGTATTTGGCGTGGAAAACCCATTCGCGGCGACACAAAACACCAGGAGCACCCACAAGCGCTACCGAAAGAAGGGCTACTCCGACGCGGTCCTGAACCGCACCATCGCCATCTGCCGCCCCTGCCACAGCGCCGTCCACCGCGCGCACGACGCCCTGGCGCTGGCGGAGCGCTTCACCACGGTGGAAGAGCTGCTGGCGGACGAAACAATCGGCCGCTTCGTCGCCTGGGCCCGGAAACAGCGCACCACGAGCGTGCAAGACTCGCGCAACAACTTGCTCCGCTATAGACGGTAGCATCGTCGCTGGCGGAGGAAAAAAGTGAAAGAAGCGATTGGTTTTAAGTACGGCAAGGTGCCCGGAGATAAGAACACCAATCTAGGCTCAATTTCTTATTCCGTCGCCAACGTCGTGTACAGGATATTGTACAGTTGGGTATATTCTATTTAGTGTCGAGCCTCGGGTGAGCTGTGTTTCATACCCCCCCTCCCCCCCCTTTTATTTCGTGGACATTTTAGCCTTTTTTTATGAACGGCATTTTTCTCGACTGCGGCCCCACGCTGTGGGGGAGAATGGGAGATACTACTTTTCCCGGGACCGACGTGGAGATGATGGCGATGGTGGTGGCCGTCGCGAAGGAGAAAAATACGGCAGCAACCGAGCGTCACGCTCACAGTGCGGTTTGGGGCCAAAGTGGCTGGCTTCGGCAGCCCAAGGCAGTAAGCCTCCTCGGGGGACGCATGCCCCTCTTTCGAAGGGTAAGGGTACCCCTCCACCACGTCTACGGTTTCGATTCCATCTTCCACATTTCCGGCAAGAGTTATACGAGTGTTGGTCCACGACCGGGGGCAGACTTATACATATCTGCTCACTACTAGGTCCCCACACCGCCCACGTACTCGTCTTGAACATATGTTTGTTGATGACTCAGTACAGCAGACGCTTCCACCAATAACCCACCGCAAACAGTTGGACCGTAGTGTACTTCGTTGCGATATCGAGGTGACAACTGCTGTTTGCTATGTCATCAAGGTTTTTCACACCCCTATACACCGGACGCCGCCGGGTTGCGCGGAATTCGAAGGCGAACGCACCCCCCCGGCCAAAGCGGCTCTTGCCAGCGCAACCATGTTGTACCACACCTTGCGTGCGATATGGGAGGTGCACTGATACACAGCGCGTACCACTTTTAGACAGAATCGAAGGCAGTCCAACGAGCGGCAAGAAAACAGCAGTCGACGTCCGTTGCCGATCGCACAACACAATCATATCTTGTTGCCACAAACGCGGCGAGACTTGCCCGCCGAAACACAAGTTGCGGTTCGATGGGACTCTCTAAACGTCAACCTGCTCCATGCGGTGCATCGTTCATACACGCTACCAAAAAATACACAAAAGAGAAAAAAAGCCGGGCCTGGCCACTGCAAAAGACAACAAGACATGGCAGGCGCAAAAGGGTCTACATATATACCCCCCGCGTGCCCTACTCCCTCCACCCCTGTATCCACGACACCCCCGGTGCTGCCGGCGTCGTCGCAAAGCGACCGCGAAAAATCATCCTGCCCTCCACGACAACGCACTTCCTCTCCGCGAGCTGCACATGCACGCTCCCGCGCGGAGAGTGCCAAACAAATTGCACAGCTTCTATGAAAAACCGAGGAACCGGTAGGAAAAGAAGGGCGCCCCCCAAAAACGAAATAGCTACATGTAGCCGCGAGGTGACACAAGAACGAAGGGAACAACACCAAGAAGTTATTAAACGTACAGGCGGGCACCGAAACAAACATGGAGCAATCTGCTCTTTTCTGGAGCATATATTGCACCTCCTCCTCCCCCCCCTTCCCACGTTCACAAGCCACCGCTTCCGGTGGGTAGCATCATTTCGTAGCCGGACAGACACGCTCTCCCTCGCCGTATCGATAACGACACCCCACCAAACAAGGCAATAACGCTGTTGGGGCTTGTGCCGAATAAGTTGGTTCATGTTTTCTGACAGCCCACAGCGCTTCCGTCATGCTACTAGTCAGGAAAGAAAGTATCGACCAAGACAAGGGTGGGAAGCAGTCAGTCTCTGATTTCTCTTTTCCTTCCCTCCCTAGTCTGTTTCTCTCTCCCCCCCTCCCCCCTCTCGTTCAGGTCTCTGCTCAGCCTCCGAAACATAAGAAGCATACCCTTTATGAGCAAAACCAACCTGCTTGCAACAGCGAAAGGCCCCTGCAGAGGCTGGAAAAAAAACGACACGCGCACCCACAGCCACGCCAGCCGAGAAAGAACGTTCAACGATAAAAACACAGAGAATCACTAAAAGTGAACACCGGGACCAAGTCGCGACCCCCACCCTAACCTACCAGCCGTCCGGCCAACACACCCTTTCCTTACCTACCGAAGGCCCAAGACAAACACAGACGTGGACAATGTAATGTATTCCCGTACGCAAACACCCACCAAGTGTCGTAGCTCGGGTTTCTAGAAACAGAGGCAAATCGGTCCAAAGGTGGGCATAACAAACATCCGATGCCGTTCAAATAGATCCAGCGACTCTCACTGCTGCGGCTGAGGCGGCAGCGGCGTCAGCAGCAGCAACGCAACCAACGGCTAGAGAAAAAACCGCTGCTAGTAGCGCCTTGGGCCAAGCGTCGTATCGCTTGCCAGCCGAACATCAAAATATTACATCCAGAGCTCGATATTGATAGTGAAATTCCTGCCACGTAACAGACGCTGACGACGCCCGCGGTTCGAACACGTCCCCACAGCACAATACACGGGATCCATTCATTCCCCTCATTCTGATCGGTACGTGCACCCCAGTCCGAATGAAACACGGCGCCCCCATTCTGAATCGAATGCTCCCCACTCGGGGGACGTCCCTATCCCCCCCCGCACCACCACCACCACGTCACCCCCTTGACCACCTACCCACCCAAACAAGGAACCTTGGCACAGCAGTGGGTAGCACGAAGATAAAGATCGGGAGGAAAAAACAAAACTTTCCCCCCTCCTACTCAAAAAAGAGACCAACCGGATACTAAAACCTGCCAAAACTGCACCCAACCATACTATCCCAAAACCCAACACACGGCAGCAGCATCCTCCCTCTGCCTCTCCTTCTGCTCAAAAATCTATCAGTGACGCTCCCTTCTACAGCCCGAGGTTCTTCATTTTTTCTGCGATCTCGCGCTGGGCCCTGTCGAAGTCTTCCAGCGAGCGGCTCGTCTGATTTGGCGAGAGAACCAATCCCGCCGCCAGTCGAGACGAGTGGCGGGGATGTTGGTGGCGGCGGGGGCGAATGGAGATGTCAATTCGTGTTTTCAGTTGTTGTAGTTCGGAGCGGGCGCGACGTCCGAGCGTGGAGCGAGGCGGCATGGCAACGGATAAAAAAAAAAAAAATCAAGTCAAATGTGTCGTGGACTGCTCGCACCGGTCCTGGGGGCAATGACGACCCTCACTCCAACAAAAGCACGGGAGAAGGTCTGGGCGGTAAGAGGCAAATGAAACAAACAGTCAACAAGGACAACCTGACACCGTGATCCAACGTAAGAACGGGAGGAGGTTCTCCGCGCGGCAATCGGCCTGGGCGGGGCAGCAACTATAATCTGCCAAGAATAGGCTTTGCTTGTTGAGTCGAGCGCTGCGCACCTGGCTGCTCGCCTCGGGGCTGCCGTACGACGCCCCGTTCGTGTAGCCGTATCTGTCCTCGTCGTCGTCGTCATCGTCGTGGTCGTCATCGTGGTCTTCGCTTGCATCCTCCGACGTAGCGTCGTCGCCCTCTTCTCCTTCCATGCTGAGCTCTTCTTCCTGCTCCTGCTCCTGCTCCTGCTCCTCCACCTCCCCCTCCTCCTCCTGCTCTTGCTCCTGCTCCTGCTCTTGCTCCTGCTCTTGCTCCTGCTCTTGTTCCTCCTCTTCCTCTTCCTCGGCTTCTATAGGGCTGCCCGCTGCCGCCGCTGCCGGTGCCGGAGCGCCAACCGCAGGCGGCTTGCCAGCATCGCCCTCGGTCGAGGTGTATCGCACAGGGGATGCCGCAGACACCTTCGCGCTCACCGGCTCGGCTTGTCCCCCCTCAGTGCCCTTGCCCCCCCCAGATCCCGCGACCCGCTTAATATCATCCAAACAATCATCATCGAAACCTTCCTCGGCCGCGGAATCGTCCGCACCTGAGGAGAGTATGGCCACGAACTTCTTCTTGGCTCCTGTGTCTGTTAAGACGTGGGGGAGACAAATATTGAGGCTCAGGAGTTTGGGGGGTGGTTGAATAGTGGCAGTCCGGTCCAGGGGGGGGGGGGTGTACTCATAGTCGTGCATGCCGTAGTCATTAGACCATTGACCTCGCATCCCTACAACGCCGGGACGGAGCACGCCGGGTTCTCACCGGACCAGGCTCTCACATCACCAAGCGCGAAGCACCGTGAGGTATTTGGCGAGTCGCATGAAGGGTGAGCTGCATCCTGCTAAGGGTGTTCGGCATCTTGTGCTTACTTCCTTGCGTACGGATGACAGCTACGTATGACTTAATTTATTTTCTGGTGCTTTCACTTCCAGAGACAGTTGTAAGCACTGTGTAACAGCCTCGAGGATGCTTGACCATTTTAACACAACGTGGTGCGATCATCCCCCGTTGCGCGG